GCAGACAACCTGGCAGGAGGGCGGGGCTCTGCGTGGAGAGGGTGGGCTGATGCCCCCTCTGTGCCCACCCCCACCTGGACCCCCACCCTGGCACCTCGAAACCCGTTTCACTATAGACAGGGCTTTTTATTCCACAGTCAGATGGCTCACTTGGGGAAGTAACCTGGTGGGGAAATTTTATACTAAGATGTGAATGATTGACATAATAAGGCCATTTCCCAAGAGCTGGACCTGGGGGGTGGGAGGATAGAGAGATAAGAGGATAAACAGAGAGGATGAAGGAGGAGAGGGCCAGGCCCTGATACTGTCCCATTCTGCCCCAGTTGACAGGCATGGCTGCCCTTCCCCCTTTCCTGCCCCTCCTCAGCCAGGTCTCCCTCCCCCAGGCGGTCAGGCAGGTACTCCCTGAGCCAGGAGCCACTGGGACATCCTCCTCAGCTTGGGAATTCCTCTGTTGGGATGGCTAAGGAGTGTGGGTGTGAAAACGAAATAACAGCCATGAATTTTCAAGGAGAGGAGGCTGGAGAAAGAGGCGGCTCATATCTAGCCCTGCCTGTGATGCTGTCAAGCACACAGACTCTGGAGCCAGAGGCAAGTGATACAAGTTCTGTCTCCTGGACTGTACCAGGGGGCCTGACCTCAAAAGCTGTCAGGAGGAATGGGTCCATACAGGGAAAGCACCAAGAGCAGGCCAGGCGGGCGCGGTGGCTCACACCTGCAATCCCAGCATTTTGGGAGGCCAAGGCGGGTGGATCACTTGAGCTCAGGAATTCAAGACCAGCCTGGGCAACATGGTGAAACCCCATCTCCACCAAAAATACAAAAAATTAGCTGAGTGCAATGGTGCATGCCTGTGGTCACAGCTACTCGGGAGGCTGAGGCGAGAGGCTCACTTGAGCCCAGGAGGCGGAGGCTGCAGTGAGCTGAGATCACGCCACTGCATTCCAGCCTGGAAGACAGAGCAAGACCTCGTCTCAGTTAAAAAAAAAAAACAAAAGCGCTGAGAGCAGAGCTTGAACTTGGCAAGTGCCGAGTGCATGCCTGTCATCATCACCGAGTAGCCAACACCACCAGGCACCTGGGTAAATGGTTGGCTCATGTCCTTGTTGCATGGAGTCTTCACCTGAAGCCTGTGTAGTCAGTCCTATAATTGCCCCGCCTGGAGGCTGAGGGCAGGTGCAGGACTTGAGCCCAGCCCTGTCTGCCTCCAGAGCCTGCACTTGCAACAGCCGAGTACCAAGGCCTCTGCCAACCACAACAGGCAGAAGGACTGCTGTAGCAACCTCACATGAGGGCTGGGGCCGGCGGGTTGCATGTGCCCGTCTGGAAGCTTATCTGGCATGCCAGGGGCTGTTTAATATTTACTGAGTCCTCCCAGACCTGGTGAAACATCCGGCCCCAGAGGCTCTCCCTGCCCCGGCTTCTGTGACACCTGGGCCAGGCATGTAGCCTGATTTGGCCATCTGGAGGCTGCACGCGCATCACCTTCCCCGGGTGGGCGGGCCCTCAGAGTGGCCACTGTGCCTGTTGAACCTCAGACAAGGAGCACAGGGCTCAGAGCTTTCCCAGGAGCAGGTGCATTCAGGTATGGCTGCAGCAGTGAGGTTATAAGGTCCCCAGGTGGATGGAAGCAGGGCTAGGCCAAGGGTGCACACCTGCTGGGGACTGGCGGTGGGAGGTGGGAGTGAGCGGGCTCCTGCAGCCCCACCTCCAAACTGCCTGCCCCACTGCCTGCTGCCTGCCTGCCGGGGTCTCTAACCTGTCAGAAACCCGCCTTTCCCCGAGGCTGCAGCCCTGACCGTCTCTGCTGGCCTTGAGATGGCAACCTTGCGGAGGGCCCGGTTCAAAAGGTGGGTGATGGGGCCTCAGGGAAGGCAAGGGGAAGAGGGAGCACAGCCCCTCTGGGCTTTGGAAAGCATCAATTAACATTAAATATATACAAATGGCTGGGTGCGGTGGCTAATGCCTGCAATCCCAGTACTTTGGGAGGCCAAGGCGGGCAGATCACCTGAGGTCAGGAGTTCGAGACCAGCCTGGCCAACAAGGTGAAACTTCGTCTCTACTTAAAAAAAAAACAAAAATTCCTGGGCGTGGTAGCAGATGCCTCTAATCCCAGCTACTGGGGAGGCTGAGGCAGGAGAATCGCTTGAACCTGGGAGGCGGAGGTTGCAGTGAGCAGAGATCATGCCACTGCACTCCAGCCTGTTGACAGGGCGAAATTTCGTCTCAAAAAAAAAAAAAATATATATATATATATAAAATACCTGTCTCCTAGGGTGGTTGTAGAAGTTGAGATATTTCTATAAAGCCCTTAGCGAGCTCCTGGCGGCTGCAGTTGCCCCAGTTACTTAAGCTCGTGTGTTCTCACTAAGCTCCCGGGGCCCTTGGGCTTGTGGTATCAGCTGTTCAGCGGCCCAGTAGCCCTGGCCTGAGCTTAGTTTCTCTGCTCTACAGACATTACTTGTCATTGTAAAGGTGTTGGAAGCTGGACTTTCTCTGGGAGCTGCCCTTCTGCTCCTCTCACACATCCTGGGTCTCCAAAGCTAGAGAGGCCCTGGGTCCAGGCCCTCTGCAGACTCCCACTTCTGCTTGGGTCAAACCTTGCTCCTTGCTGTCCACTCCCAGAGCACAACAGGTGCCCCTCTCCACCCTTGCTCCCTCTGTCGCCAGCTGGGAACACCCAGGGGTGCGCTCGCTGTCCCACTCTGCCTGCAGGGGCCAGGATCTCTGTTCTCCAATCCCCTTGGGATACTATATTTTCCTCCATTCAGTTGAGCTTAATATTTACGAAGCACCTAATATTTTCTTTTCTTTTTTTTTTTTTTTAGGCGGAGTTTCGCTCTTGCTGCCCAGGTTGGAGTGCGGTGGCATGATCTTGGCTCACTGCAACCTCTGCCTCCCAGGTTCAAGCGATTCTCCTGCCTCAGCCTCCCCAGTAGCTGGGATTACAGGTGTCCACCACCATGCCCAGCTAATTTTTTGTTTAGCAGAGACGGGGTTTCATCAGGTTGGCCAGGCTGGTCTCAAACTCCAGACCTCAGTTGATCCACCCGCCTTGGCCTCCCGAAGTGCTGGGATTACAGGTGTGAGCCACAGTACCCAGCCCGCACCTAATGTTTTCTAAGCTGTGAGCCAGGGGAAAGATACAGATAGGATGTGACGATTCTGTCAATAGCTCGCATGTCAAAGGTCTCCTTTGTGCCATATTTTGGGCCTGGCATCTAATAGAATTCTCAGCACCACCCTCTGATATATTATGTGGTCCCATTTTACCGATGAAAAGACAGAGGCTTGGGTGGTGTGTTACTGTAGAGATGAAGTTGTTTTGATAAAAGGACCCCCAAAATGCAGGTGCTTACTTAAGATTGGTTATTCCTCTCTCTCTCTGCAGTCTGGAGCCAATGGGTGAATGAGGGCATGTGTGTGGCGGGCGGTCTGCTTCACAAGGCTGTTCAGGGTCTGTTCCTTCTCTTCTGTTGCTCAGTCAGCTTTTGGGGTGGGTTGAAACTGCTTCCAGCATACCCTTATTCCTGCCCCTGGGAAGAGGAGGAGTTGGAAGAGAAGGGCCAGTAGTCCCCTGTGAGAACTGATGCTGAGTCAGGCGCGGTGGCTCACATCTGTAATCCCAGTACTTTGGGAGGCCGAGGCAGGTGGATCATTTGAGGTCAGGAGTTCAAGACCAGCCTGGACAACATGGTGAAACCCCGTCTCTACTAAAAATACAAAAATTATCTAGGTGTGGTGGTGCATGCCTGTAATCTCAGCTACTTGGGAGGCTGAGGCAGGAGAATCGCTTGAACCCGGGAGGTGGAGGTTGCAGTGAGCCAAGATTGCACTATTGTGCTCTAGGCTGGGTGACAGCGAGTCTCCGTCTAAAAAAAAAAAAAAAAAAAGAACTGATGCCCAAGTTCGTTCTAAGAGTCATTTCTGCCATGTCTCTTTTGTGAGAATGTGGTCATTAAGTGATACCTGGTGCCAGGGCACCTGGCCGATGGCTTTAGAGGGCTAAGAGCGGACTTCAACTCATCTGTTGGTGAGCAAAGGCTTCATCAGCCAGCCTGGTCCTCAAGCCTCATGGATAAGTTATGGGATCCTGAGAAGGGGCTCAGATGCCAGGGAAACCAGCTCTGTGCTGTGATGAGGGTGCCCTGGCCTCGTACTCCTGTAATCAGTCTTGAGATGCTGCTACATCGCTAAAGGTTGGGGGACCCAGCCGTCACCACTGAAAGGCAGTTTTTAGGATCATCCAGTCCACACTCTCAACTCCAGCTGGCTTAAGCTAAAAAAGAGTCAGTTGGCTCATGTAACTGCAAAGCCCATGGGCAGGTTCAGCTTTAGACATAGCTGGATCCAGGAACTTACTGTCATAGAGATTTGGCCTGACTCTGTTTGTTCCTCTCTGTGTTGGCTCCAGTTTCCCTACATGGTGGCAAATGGAGGAGGCTGGAAGTCCCGGGTGTATGTTCCCCAGGTTAGCAATGCCAGGGGAAAAAACCCTTCTCCCTTCTGTGAATTCTGAACTCCTGGCTGGCTACTGGCCAGGTTTGATCCCCATATTTCTTGGCCTAGGGGAGCAGAATATGTTGACTAGCGCAGGCCTAGGATGTGGATTTGCGGAAGAATGCTCGTGTGCACGTGTGCGTGTGCAATGTGTGTGTGCATGTTGATTGGTCAGGCTACCTTTCCCCCAAACCACAAGTATAAAAAGCAAAGCTGGGGAGGTTCCCCAGAGGAAAATTGAGGTGCTACTACTAGAGGGAGGGGATGGAAGCTGGGCAGGTAAAGCCAACAGATGCCTCCCCGTGGGTAAAGCACAGGACTATGACTTGGCCTCCTATACGGCTTTGCCTGCACAGGCAGAGCATGCTGATCAGAGAGCATTGGCATTTGGGCTGCTTGATTATATTTCTTGCTGTAAGTTCATTTCTGATCTCAGACTTTTATTACTTTTTTTTTTGTCAAGCTGTTCTTTATTTCTGGGAGAGGGCAGGGGATGGGGCTTAGTCTTTCCTGGCAGTGGCTTTCCTCATGGCAGCCAGAACATTGTTCAGCTCCTTCCGCTTCCTCTTGGTACAGATGTGCATCCCCACCCTTTCCTTGATGAACTTGAGGGTCCGTTTGTCCTTGGACACCTTCAGTAACTCCATGGCGCCCTGCTTGTATGAGGCAAAGCCACACAGCTCTGAGATCATGTCCCACACAAACTCAGTGTATTTGGTCAGACGCCCGCTGTGGTGGCTGTGCCTGGGCTTGCTCATGCTCTTGGTCACCTTGTGGTCCTTGTTGAGGCCCATGGCCATAGGGTAGTGCAGAGCCAAGGCTGCTGCTCTCCAGTGGCAGCCATGGCAGAAGGGCTTTATTACTTTTAACCCTCAAACCCAGGCTCCTTATTTTTATTTATTTATTTTTTAAGACGGAGTTTCATTCTGCCACCCAGGTTGGAGTGCAGTGGTGCAATCTCGGCTCACTGAAACCTCCCGCCTCCCAGGTTCAAGCGATTCTTGTGCCTCAGCCTCTGGAGTAAGTGGGATTATAGGCACGTACCACCACACCTGGCTAATTTTTATATTTTTAGTAGAGACAGGGTTTCGCCACATTGGCCAGACTGGTCTTGAACCCCTGATCTCAGGTGATCCACCTGCCTCAGCTTCCCAAAGTGCTGGGATTACAAGTGTGAGCCACCGTGCCCGGCCCCGGATCCTTATTATACAGATGAGAAAGCAGAGGCTCAGAGAGACTCCATAACTTTCTGGAGACCACACTGCTTGGTGGTGATGGGGGTGGGACTGAGCTGGGTCTCCTGTGGCTCTGGTCACTATTTCCAAAGTGCCTGCCCCTGGAGAGGGCTTTGTCAGGACCCTGCTCTGACTTCTCTTCCTCTCCACCCCTTCTCACAGAAAGTCCATCAACAGGAACTCCGTGAGATCGCGAATGCCTGCAAAATCCTCCAAGTTGTACGGCACGCTGCGAAAGGGGTCGGTCTGTGCAGACCCCAAGCCCCAGCAGGTGAAGAAGATCTTCGAAGCATTGAAAAGAGGCCTCAAGTAAGGCTGGGCTGCTTCTAAGAAGTGCATTCTTCTACCTCGCCTCCTCTCTGTCTCTTCCTGGGGAAGCGTGGGTGGGTCTTGTCTACAAGAGGTGACAGGTTAAGTTCCTGGTCATTCGTTTAGTCAACAAGTATGTCACGGTGCAGCCATGTGCTCAGCCCGGTTCTTGGGCACTGGAAACCTGGCAGTGACTAAGGCAGGAGGACTCTGGTCTTGTGGAGCATGCAGTGCAGAGGAGCAGATTTGATGCAATCAATCAAGAAGCAATGCAATCAATCATGCAGTCCATCATGGAACTTCCACCTGTGCTGAGTGCAATGAAGAAGGGTAACAGAGAGACGGTGTGTCCAGGGCCTCAGCAGACAGGATGATCCTGGCAGTCACCGAGGAGGTGCTGACAGTGTCTGACACACAAACGGTCTGAAAAGGCGCCACCATGCTCACCTCTAGGGGACAAGCGTCGTAGGCAGAGGCAACAGCACGGGCAAAGGCCCCGCAGTGGGAGCCTGAACTGTGAGCTCACACACACAGGAGGTCAGGGCGGTGGGTGTCTGAGTGAAGGACAGACTTGCTCAGAGACCGACTGATGAGCTGGGCTGAGACCCGCACAGGAAGAATGAGTCACTCTACAAATTTTTTTTTGAGATGGAGTCTTGCTCTGTTGTCCAGGCTCAAGTGCAATGGTGCAATCTCGGCTCACAGCAGCCTCTGCCCCTGGGGATCAAGCAATTCTCCTGCCTCAGCCTCCCGACTAGCTGGGACTATAGGTGCATACCACCACACCGGGCTTATATATATATATATATATATATATATTTTTTTTTTTTTTTCCTTTTTTTTTGAGATGGAGTTTCACTCTTGTTGTCCCGGATGGAGTGCAATGGTATGATCTCGGTTCACTGCAACCCCTGTCTCCCGGGTTCAAGCGTGAGCCACCACACCTGGCCTAGGCTCCTTATTTTACAGATGAGAAAGCAGAGGCCGAGAGTAGCTCTTGCCTCAGCCTACCGAGTAGCTGGATTACAGGCGCCTGCCACCATGCCTGGCTAATTTTTTGTATTTTTAGTAGAGATAGGGTTTTGCCATGTTGGCTAGGCTGGTCTCAAACTCCTGACCTCAGGTGATCCGTTCGTCTCAGCCTCCCAGAATGCTGGGATTACAGGCGTGAGCCACCGTGCCCAGCCAATATTTTGTATTTTTAGTAGAGACAGGGTTTCGCCATGTTGGCCAGGCTGGTCTTGAACTCCTGACTCAAGTGATCTGCCTGCCTTGGCCTCCAAAAGTGCTGGGATTATAGACATAAGCCACCATGCTCAGCCCACAAATATTTATTGAGGCTTACAGAGTACCAAGCCAGGGGACAGAAGTAACTAAATACACAAAATCCCTACCCACCGTGGAGCTGACTCCTGGTGGGAGAGACACAGACAATACACAATGCAGAAAAGAAAAGGACAGAGAATATCAGATAGTGTTAAGGGCCACAGAGGAAAACAGGCCAGGGTAAGAAGGCGGAGGCAGGGAGGGTTCATTTTAAATTGGGCAGTTGGAAGGGAAGGCCTTGCTGAGAAGGTGACATTGGAGCACATGCCTGAAGGGGTGGAGTGAGCCATGCAGATAATGGGAAAAGAACATTCCAGGCCAGGCTAGCCACATACACAAAAGCCCTGGGGCGCAGCAAGGAGGCCAGCGTGGTTAGAGCCAAAGGAAAGAGGATGAGGTCACCGGGCAATGGGGACCAGATGACAGGGGGCCTTGTGGGCCAAAAAGTGGTTTCCCAGAGTGATTTTCCCCAGATACAGTGGTACTTAGACCCTAAATTCTCTCCTACCTACATCTTTTTTTTTTTGAGACAGAGTCTCACTCTGTCACCCAGACTGGAGTGCGGTGGCACGATCTCAGCTCACCGCAACCTCCGCCTCCTGGGTTCAAGCTATTCTCATGCCTCAGTCTTCCAAGGAGCTGGGACTACAGGCATCTGCCACCACAGCTGGCTAATTTTTTTTGTATTTTAAGTAGAATGGTGTTTCACCATATTGGCCAGGATGGTCTTGAACTTCTGACCTTGTGATCCACCTGTCTCAGCTTCCCAAAGTGCTGGGATTACAGGCTTGAGCTACCACGCCCAGCCCCTACATCTCTTATTTATAGACGGGGCACCCGAAAGAGGAACCAGAGTCAATTAAAAGTTGAAACCAGGCCAGGTGCGGTGGACCTATAATCCTAGCACTTTGGGAGGCGAAGGCAGCTGGATCACAAGTTCAGGAGTTTGAGACCAGCATGACCAACATGGTAAAACCCCGTCTCTACTAAAAATACAAAATTAGCTGGGCATGATGGGGCATGTCAGTCATCCCAGCTACTCAGGAGGCTGAGGCAGGAGAATCACTTGAACCTGGGAGGTGGGGGTTGTGGTGAGCCAAGATCGCACCATTGTACTCCAGCCTAGGCAACAGAGCAAGACTCAAAAAAAAAAAAAAAAAAAAAAAAAAGTGAAACCACCTTAGAATGAAATGGTTTTCAAAATATACATCCTTGGTCGGGCACAGTGGTGGCCACCCTGTAATCCCAGGACTTTGGGAGGCTGAGGCAGGCGGGTTCCTTGAGCCTAGGAGTTCGAGACCAGCATGGCAATATGGCAAAGCCCTGTAGAGGTGGAGGTTGCAGCGAGCTGGGATTGTGCAGAGTTGGAGCTGGGATGTGCATGGAGGGTAGAGCATGTTTCTGAAGGGCAGATTCTGTGTCCTTTAAGGACCACATGTTTGAGACTTGTCTGTGGCCAAGGCAGCCACTTCTTCTCAGAGAGCTTAGCACCTCAGTGAGTAGCAGCCTGCAGAAGCTATCTTTTCCACATTTGAGGTGGTGTCGGTAGAGCCCAGAGAGGGTGAGTGACCTTCGTGGGGTGACTCAGCTGTGCTCTGCCCCCCCA